TGTGAGAGCACAGATAAACACTTACTCTGTGACAGCACAGATAAACACTTACTGTGTGAGAGCACAGATAAACACTTACTGTGTGAGAGCACAGATAAACACTTACTGTGTGAGAGCACAGATAAACACTTACTCTGTGACAGCACAGATAAACACTTACTGTGTGAGAGCACAGATAAACACTTATTGTGTTAGAGCACAGATAAACACTTACTGTGTGAGAGCACAGATAAACACTTACTCTGGGAGAGCACAGATAAACACTTACTCTGTGAGAACACAGACAAACACTTACTCTGTGAGAGCACAGACAAACACTTACTGTGTGAGAGCACAGATAAACACTTACTCTGTGACAGCACAGATAAACACTTACTGTGTGAGAGCACAGATAAACACTTACTCTGTGACAGCACAGATAAACACTTACTGTGTGAGAGCACAGATAAACACTTACTCTGGGAGAGCACAGATAAACACTTACTCTGTGACAGCACAGATAAACACTTACTGTGTGAGAGCACAGATAAACACTTACTGTGTGAGAGCACAGATAAACACTTACTGTGTGAGAGCACAGATAAACACTTATTGTGTTAGAGCACAGATAAACACTTACTGTGTGATAGCACAGATAAACACTTACTCTGGGAGAGCACAGATAAACACTTACTCTGTGAGAACACAGACAAACACTTACTATGTGAGAGCACAGACAAACACTTACTGCGTGAGAGCACAGAAAACACTTACTCTGTGACAGCACAGATAAACACTTACTGTGTGAGAACACAGATAAACAGAGTAGGCAGGACTGATATAGAGCAAAAAACAAACCACACACACAAGATGTCTTCTCAAAAGATGTTTTACTAATGAATAAATTAAAATTGTCTACAAATCAGCTGTCAACAGGTTATCGTGGTACATATCTATATACAGGTAAAGAGGGGAAAGATTTCTAGTCTAAACAATAAATATATATACATTTGTCAATTTTACATTCTGGTAAACCCAACAATTTTTGTGAACTTCAATTTACGTTAATTAGTGATTTTGCTTGAAGAAACATTGATTTAAATATACATAAACTTGCTAAAATTTATTTGATTCAAATTTATACTACTAAAAGATTAGGTAAACTTTTATTTATCAATGAAGTGAAAATATACAAAAAACAAGAGGCCCAATGGGCCTGCAGCGCTCACCTGGTGTATATATATATATAACAGTCTCTAGGCCTTTTAGTTCATGAAAAGAAGTTGTTTAAACCAGATTTTGTCAGGTCTCATCCTTGGAACATACCAGCCAAATAACAAGCCTCAAGAAGTCATTTAAAGGTTTTTAAAAATTTGACTCCTGTGACCTTGAACATAACCGAAGGCCATTTCTTTTCGCAAACTTTGTCAGGCTTCATCCTAGGAACATACCACCCGAATATCGAAACATTGGATCCATTTGTTATTGAGAAGAAGTTGTTTAAAGGAAAAAGTTGACATCAGATGATGGATGTCTTTGGGCCAGGTGAGCTAAAAGACAATGGGAATCACTCATGCAATGTGGCAGACATCCTTGTCAAGCATCACTAGAAAATGGCATCAAAGATTATTCTTCTTTTGATCTTGTTTTCAGTAATGCACATGTAGATACAAAAATCTGACAGATTTTCTTCATTACTTGTGATACACATTTCAAGACGGATGGATAAAAATATTAAGTAGGAGACATAAATGAAGAAAATATTTGAATTCTCTATACATTTTAAACATTATATCACTTTATATTTGTTTAACTTTTGCTAGCTAATATTTCATGGTAAACATCCCAGTTTGGGATCCTTCAAAGTGTTTGATTTCATGCACATCCATTTACTGGTGTCCAGATACAAAGGCAAAACAGATACTCTCTGAGATTTTCATTCTCTGTAGAAATATTCACTGGGTATCTGATTTTGTGAAATTAAATTCTCTGTAAATATTACAACTATAGAGTATAGGATATTCCAAGTGATGCTATTTATACCCCCAGTATCTTGTTTATATAAACAATACATAAACCTCAACTATACTATGTACAATGGGTATTGCTGAATTGCAAGGTATTACAACACCTATCAAAATCAACACAAATGAAAAACATCTCGCAAAAAAAGAAAACAAAAATTATTCAATGTCACTTCAATATCATACATTATCACATGATTATCAACAATTAATTTCAACAATTACAATTTGCAAATAAATATAAACTTAGAAAATCTGTAACAATTTTCTATAAATAGAATCAGTGACCTTGACCTTTGACCTCTGAATTTTCCAAGGCCACAGAATCACTTTGTAATTTTTCATGATTCATCATGGTATAAATTTTGTCACTAGAAGGACGACATTAAATCAGGGCAAAAGATATCAGAAAAAAATTTGAATACAGCATTAGTTTCAAACTTGAAATGCTCAGTATAAATCATTCAGCTGTTTTGATGTTGATTACTTTACTCTATATATGCTATGAGTTGTAATGCCCTGGTATAACAAAAGACTATCTTTATATGTCCAGTGTATAATTCACACTAGAATACCTGAAACATATTTCAGCTTTAACTCAAATTTTTTTAGCAAATGGATAGCTGCATGTTTTATGTGAGGATTGTAAGATCCTCTAAACATTTCCAGATTTAAACATTTGTTTACAGGATACAACCTGCACAATATCACAGACGAAAAAAATAAACAAGGGAAACAACTCATGTAAAAACAGAGGAATAAAAAAAAAATCAAAAATGATTTCTTTAACCAGTAAAACTCTACCTCAATAAGGGTATATGAGATTTAATAAGTGGAATCAAGTAGATATATTTATGGACCGGAGATACGATAAGTATATATAGATATATAGAGAATGGGTAGGATGTCAAGTGTCCACCTGGACCAGAGATACAATATGTATAATAGAGATATATAGAGAATGGGTTGGATGTCGAGTGTCCACCTGGACCAGAGATACGATATGTATAATATAGACATATAGAGAATGGGTAGGATGTCAAGTGTCCACCTGGACCAGAGATATGATATGTATAATACAGATATATAGAGAATGGGTTGGATGTCGAGTGTCCACCTGGACCAGAGATACGATATGTATCACATAGATATATAGAGAATGGGTAGGATGTCAAGTCTCCATCATAATCGGCAATGTTCCATTACAGTTATTGTTACTTCACTGTTACAGAACAGTAACTACCAGTGGTATCCAACACTACAAACACAGACACAAATCTGTCTATCACAGTTAATCAACAGCAATACACCGCCACCTTAACTTCAAGTCAAATTCACAACAGATATATATCTTCAGAAACCGAGTAGATTGTGAAAGTAACACTGTTTAAACATCACACCATCCTAATGAGATACCCCAGGTACAGTAACACTGTTTAAACATCACACCATTCTAATGAGATACCCCTGTACAGTAACACTGTTTAAACATCACACCATCCCAATGAGATACCCCATGTACAGTAACACTGTTTAAACATCACACCATTCTAATGAGATACCCCATGTACAGTAACACTGTTTAAACATCACACCATTCTAATGAGATACCCCATGTACAGTAACACTGTTTAAACATCACACCATTCTAATGAGATACCCCAGGTACAGTAACACTGTTTAAACATCACACCATCCACATGAGATACCCCATGTACAGTAACACTGTTTAAACATCACACCATTCTAATGAGATACCCCATGTACAGTAACACTGTTTAAACATCACACCATCCCAATGAGCTACCCCATGTACAGTAACACTGTTTAAACATCACACCATCCCAATGAGATACCCCATGTACAGTAACACTGTTTAAACATCACACCATCCTAATGAGATACCCCATGTACAGTAACACTGTTTAAACATCACACCATTCTAATGAGCTACCCTATGTACAGTAACACTGTTTAAACATCACACCATTCTAATGAGGTACCCAAGTAAGGTTTGGTAATACAAAAATCAATATTTCTTGCCAAACAAAATGTACCATGTGTAGCCATTTTGACAAGGTCAGAGTTCATCCCCAATTAAACAAATTTATAGGAAGCCTTAAAGCTAGCAGCATTCTTTGGTATATATACAATGTATTTACATTTTCACAAAGAGAACATCTCCTCCAAGTGATTTTAAGCCAATCTTTAAAATTTTCACCCAGTGTTTAATACTGTACATACGTTTATATTCATAAATATTCAATAGACTCACATCACTGTATTCTTAATAATCTCAGCAATATTGGAATGGATCTTATTGTACCAGACCTGTAACCAGTCTCAACAACCAGGGAAATAATATAATATTACTGATTCAACAATAGTAAATCTCGGGCAACAATATAGATAAAGTCAGGGGCTGGGTAGCAGAACAGTGAGATAGCAATATTGACTTGGCTTATTACCATGAATGTGCTTATAACCTGACATGGGCTTATAACCTTGCATGGGCTTATTATCTGAAATGGGCTTATTGCTGGATATACAAGTCAGATGTGAAAAAGGCATCATAATGAGTTAAGAATAAACAAAGAAATATTTCTGTTAAATCATTTTTGCACAGATAACGAAAGATTATTCATTTTATAAGTTTTGGACGGAGAGTTTAAGTTTTTCTTACAATTCTATTTGAAAAGTTTTTAAGACACATAAGCAGGATTAATCAGAAAGGTCAAGGGAGATAACTCTGTTATACCATCTCTTACAATTTCCCAGTTACAACAATTCACAATCATGCATAAATCACCAACAATAGGAATAACGTCTTTCAATTGTTAAGCTTCTGCAAAAGTCTAGCTAATTTTCCAGTAAATCATATCAAATTAAAAAGCAAACATGAATGATCTTGTCAGAATTACATTTCTAAACAATGTGTATATGTTAGTAAAAAAAAAAAATAAATAAAAATTGAAACAGAATTTTAATTTGTGTTGCCTAGAAGTCGTTTTCTTCACTCTCTATAATTTGGGGTGGGGGTGATGGTGAACTGCCATAAGTGTCAAAATCTCCATCAAATCGAACCACCTCTCCACGTTCACTTAGGTATGACTGTTCAAAACTGTCCATACTGTAATTATAATCGCTCATGCGTGACCCCTCCCTGGGACCAGGTCCTGCTGTATCAATAGGTTTTCCTTTTTCAGATGGTTTATTGTTTTTTAAGTCCACATCATCATCCTCAGCAGACTTGCCCCGTGGTAGCGGCACAGGACGACTAGCTTTAGGGGAATCATCCACCTCGCTGGCATCAAACACAATTTCTTCACCAAGTTTTTTACTCCATTCCTTTGCTTTGTCCTTATTTCCACTGTCCCCATTTTGCTGTTTACTGTCACCTTGGATTGCCTCCCCTTGGGACTTTCCACCCGCAGATAACGCATCAACACGATTATGATGGAATGCGTTTGAAGTCTCCTGTAATATTCTCTCATACAATTCATCATGTTTCGCTTGCTCGGCGGTGTTATAGGTCCCCTCAAAATGTCCTTTCATGGTCGGATCCTTGGCTGCGGAGACACTGAAGGTTCCACCAGATGTCACCACTTTATTGCTTGATGAAATATCCCCAAGGAAACCGTTGGTCTTGGTGATAGGTTTAGTGGGGCGTGGTGGGATACGACTTGTAGTTGAGTTGTTGTATGGCGTAGATGACTTTGGTTGTTGACTATAGCTCTGTCCCTTAGTGACGGGAAGTTGACTAGCACTGACAAACGGTGATTCTTTGTGATCAAGTCCAGCCATTGTGATCAACTGTCCCAGACTGAAAAAAACAGGAACTCATCAGTATTGAGACAAATCTATTTTATTCCATCAACAAAAATGTTTATTATAGTATTTTTACACCTGTATATCTGCTTCAATTTCATCAATATAAAAAAAAATTGTTTACAATATACTTGTATATCATTCCTCAAAATTAACAAACTACACTTCCAGTCTAAGAATATTTCAAAGAAATCCAATGAAACTACCAAGTGATTTTCGACAAATGATCGTCATTAAATACCATAATTCTTCATTTGGTGCCTGATCCAGGGACATGAACAAGGAAAAAAAAGCCTAACTTTTTGTAGTATCTGTAAAAGTAGGAATTTTCTGTACCTAAGTGCATGAATCACCAAGTTTTCTGTTAACTTTGGAATACTTACCCTGCATCTTTGAGAAGGTCGAGGAACTGGTGGAATTGTTTGAAGGCACCTTCTATACTTTCCAGTGTACTGTCATCATCCAGAATATTACCCCCAGGTGCCCCATTCCCAAACTGACTCCTTCTCAAACGGTCATAGTCATCCTGTAGTCGTCTGTTTTCTATAGACAACTGTGTAACAACAAATGTATTACAACAATTTTATTCATATCAATAGTTTACTCGATTGCGAAGTTGTGTCATTCAAAACAACAATAAATGCCATATCAAGCTTTCTATCTGATATATATACTTCCTATACCGTTTTGATAGATTCTGATTTCATTTCAACTGAAAGAAACTATTTATTTTAAGACTTTGTGATCAACAAAATTGAAATGGCAAAATGTGATCATTTTTTCCACAAGATCATAATGATCATGATATTGTGTACAAATTATGTTTTTTTTGTAGGAGAGTCTTTTCTCACTGCTCCTATGTGATATGAGAACATGGATGATGGCGACATTCAAGGGTCAGGGGTCAAGGGTCAATCAACAATCTCAATAAATGACTCTACTAACTTCAATGATTTTCTTGTCACACTTGGCCCTGGCAAGCCTCTCCTGTTGTAGTTGTCTCTTCATCTGTATCAGTTCTATCTGTTGGCAGGAGGCATAGAAATTAAACTAAGGGAGACAACTCCTGAGTGACTTACAACAAAAATTTCTAGCATTTTTTTCTCGTGTTATACGTGTTTCAACAAATTACCATCATCTCAGATGAGCAATTTCTGACAGACAACATATTGCGTTTTTGTGTAACATTCACAACTAACTTCCAGTTATATTCCAAAAATACCAACATGGTGTGAAAAATCTTGTGTGACTAGCAAAACGATATTGATATAGTGATAATGCATTGTGGGCCTATACTGATCTTTCTATCAGTATCACTACTGTTCATGTGTAATATGATTAAATAGCAAAGTTTGGAGTGAAGCCCTCATTAACATTAGAGATCAGGGAATATATAACAATGTTTTGTATTTTTCAGTACTCCACAACAACTTATCCCCTCACAAGTGAAAATCACGATAAAGGCTGAAATAACCTGGAAATTCATCATTTTTCTTGAAAATGAAAAAAATTAAATTATTTTGAGGATAAATTTTTCTGAAATTGATCAAACAATTCTGCCTCATCGGGAATAATTGTATTGAGAAAGATAGTGCAGGCCACCAAATTGAACACTATTCTCTTCATTATGAAAATTAAACGGATTTTTAAATTTGAAAATTAAAAAAAAATCTTTCTTCCTCTTCCAATGAAGGATCCAATATCTTTTCTCATACTTTTCGGGCAAGTGAAATCAATTGAGCGTTGGAAACCAATGATTTATACAGATTACTCATTCTGCTAATTGTGAAACTCCATCATGCCAAACAGACTTGGCTTTCTGAAGAGAGAATCATTCACTAGAGTATTAAATTTATTTAATGAATTTCAGTATTCTAATTAAATAATGATGGCACAGTGTAAACAAAGAGCAATTTTTTTATTTTTTAAAAAGTTGACAGAATTTTAAAATCAATACATGATTCTCTGTAATAAAGTTAACATGTTTTAGCTGATTGAGTTTCTGTAGTCCATAACACTAATCTGAGTGAAATTGATTCATTTTAACTATAGGAAAAGAATGCTGCCTTCAATGACGGAGTTTCCTAGCTTTTACTAAATAACATTTCATTTATTCAATGATTACTATAAAGGAGTGGGGGCTGGGTTCACAAGTCTTTGATAAAAGGTTACTTTAATGTCAAATTTCAAGCCATTTAGAACTCTTGGGTTGCCTAAATTAATGTGAATCATTTGTGTTAAATATTACCTCCCTCATCATCTATGTTTTGTGGGTTCACTTATCAGGGTCGTGGCACTGAAGTGAACACAATAGTATAATATACATACATACATAGTGAAACCCTTGGTGAGCCCCATACAGAGTCACAAGATTTCATCATCAGGATATCACATCCATAACTATATAATATCCTAAATAATTTTCCAAAATCTCAGTTAACAGTTTTTTATACTAATTGCGATGAAAAGATATGAAAATTCAGCAGGAAAATGATATTATAAACAAACATATTTAAACAGGAATTGTTTCTTATGTCTCTGGGGTTTTTTTATTCTATTTTTGTAGTAATGTTAGAGAAGGCATGATCTCTTGTCTAATAGTAATAGTATGTGTTTATAATTGGTGAGATGACCATCACTGCCATTGACAACATTTAAGCCAAGGGAGACAAATCTCTCAAGGATGCACACTACCAATGTTCAAAATCCATGTTAACCATAGAGTTCTTTATATAAAAGGAAAGGATATCTTATGGTAGATTACTTCTGTAAGCATCACTAGTTTGTACTGTTATCCTGTATGACCTATCATACTGATGTTTGTTATTTACAGTACACATTTTTATTCTGGTACAATTAAATTTTATAAAATCTATTAAAATTTGACAAAAATTAAGTACACATGTACTGAGATTTATTTTGTATACTGTATGTGGACATTATCTGTTTTACACATTATTTATGTAAAATCCCACCTGTAGTTCCTTGGCACTGTTGATTCCTGTAGAGAGAGCACTGTCGTCAAGGACAACTTTCTCCAACTCCCTAAGGGTGTCCTCGTCCTCCAGGTCATCGTGTGTGATGAGAAGTGACGCTGAGTGATCTGGGGAAGTGTTAGGGGATGCCTCACTGTTCTCAAACAGACTTGCCTTTCCTGGGATGTGTTCTGGTGGAAATCCCCTGGAAACAGCAACAGTGTCATAGATAGTGTTAATCTAGAATGGGATTCTCAGAACTTTTAGATGTACACACTGTCAGAAAGGGAGATAACTGGGTATATAAGCTGTTGGAATATGTTGACAGGGGCAGTTAGTCATCAGATAAGATTTAGCCTTCAGATACGAGTACACAGGACAGAATTCTCAATATAAAGAATGTATCTGTGTCATTGTAATCTTCACTTTGCCTTGTAGACTTCTGGACAAGTGTTCTTATCCTAGTCTGTGTCAGTCAAATGATTTTGGGGTGATGGGAGGCAAGGGAACAGGGTTACCTAATATCTCGGGCTATGTCAGAGAAATGATTTTGGGGTAGTGGGAGGTAAGTGGACAGGGTTACCTCATATCTCGGGCTATGTCAGAGAAATGATTTTGGGGTAGTGGGAGGTAGGTGGACAGGGTTACCTATTGTCTTGGGCTATGTCAGAGAAATGATTTTGGGGTAATGGGAGGTAGGGGGACAGGGTTACCTATTGTCTTGGGCTATGTCAGAGATTTTGGGGTGATGGGAGGTATGACATGGAGGTTTCACCACACCTGTATCTGTTGGCTCTTGCAGCAGTTCTCCATGGCATGCCTGACTTGGTGCCTTCGTTGTTCAGTTGGAGGCGTCTGGCCACACCTACTGCTCCTGCTGACTTGGTTCGTCGCCGTGCTGCTCCCGCAGATATCTGAAAATTTACAGTGAAAGATCATCAAATTTTGGAAAGCTCAAACTACAAATAGAACTTCTGCAGCAATGACAGTTTGATTAACTTCGAACAATAATGATAACAAAGAGAGGGCAACCCTTAACAGTCATCTGACAATTGACAAATCAATGGACAAACCAGAGAATTTGCTGATGGTGGTCTGACAAATCTGATGAATTCAAATTTTGAACATGCCCTGAAAGTATCAGAAACTCACGAATGTGGTAGACTCTGTAACTGAAAAACTGTTGCACCATCATGTTACAAAATAATTACTGTGGTTACCATACTGAAGTTTTAGTAATAACAAAAAATCTCTTTCTTTTCTTTAAAAAAAAAATCCAAACATTTTTCTCATCGATGTGATTGAAACATGAGAAGAAGTTCCGACTATTTGTTCTAAGTTGGATTTTGGACCATAGTATAAAAATATAATTTGGTAAGGACAATCTCAGGATCACTCCATTCATGGTTGATATCATTGCCACTCCCTGATAAAGTTTTAGGCCACATTTGGTTTAAATGCACCAAAATATTGTCTAAATTCCCAATTTGGGGCTCAACCCCCAAGTCACCAGAGGTCGAATCAACTTTCTGAATTTAAGAAATCATAACCCACCTGCAGTAATGTTTCACACCAAATTTGGTTGAAATCTAACATGGCATTAAGAATAATTATGGTTTTGAAGCAAAATATTGTCTAATTTCCCTGTTTGGGGCCCAATCCCCAAGTCCTTAGGGGTTGAATAAAATTTCTGAATTTAGGAATTATTTGTCAACCCTTAATCATGTTACAGAAAAACACTGAATGAAATTGATTCCAGCATTAAGGATGAGTAGCGTTTTGAATTAAGTATTGTCTAACTACCCTTTTGGGGCCCCTTTCCCTGGTCCCTAGGGGACAAAAACAAATTTCTGAATTTAAGCAATGATCCTCCATCCCTAATGATGTTTTAGACCAAATTTTGTTGAAATCTGTTCAGGCCTTAAGCAGGAGTAATGTTTTAAAGGAAAAAATTACAGATGGTAAATAGCGAACGGTGGATGACAGACAGCACACAGTGACGGACGATGCATGATAGCAATAGGTCATCTTGACCCTGTGAGTCAGTGACCTCAAAAAAAACTTTTAAATTACCCTGATTGTGGCTTTCCGGCCAAAACTTGAGTTTAAGGTCTTTGTCCGACGTTTTTTCGCAGATTTGAATTTTCCTCCTTCTAAGGCATCGTCTGCTTTAATCCATTTGTACTGTCAACAAAAAAGATACCGTGTACTACCACTAAAATAAACATAAACGGTGAAACTGATGAATGCCTTCCAAAAACTGTCATCTGTCCTTTTGCTGACCCTGTGTTTGCCTTTTTATGTCATGTGTCCTTTGCTGACCCTGTGTTTGCCTTTTTATGTCATGTGTCCTTTGCTGACCCTGTGTTGGTCTTTTTATGTCATGTGGCCTTTGCTGACCCTGTGTTTGTCTTTTATGTCATGTGGCCTTTACTGACCCTGTGTTTGTCTTTTTATGTCATGTGGCCTTTGCTGACCCTGTGTTTGCCTTTTTATGTCATGTGGCCTTTGCTGACTCTGTGTTTGTCTTTTTATGTCATGTGTCCTTTGCTGACCCTATGTATATGTTTTTATGTCATGTGTCCTTTGCTGACCCTGTGTTTGTCTTTTTATGTCATGTGGCCTTTGCTGAGCCTATCTTTGTCTCTTTATGTCATGTGTCCTTTCACTGACCCTATGTTTATGTCTTTATGTCATGTGGCCTTTCACTGACCCTGTGTTTATCTTTTTATGTCATGTGTCCTTTCACTGACCCTGTGTTTATCTTTTTGTGCCATGTGTCCTTTCACTGATCCTATGTTTATGTTATGTAATGTGGCCTGTGCTTACACTGTGTTTGTCTGTTTATGTCATGTGTCCTTTGCTTACCCTGTGTTTATCTTTTTATGTCATGTGTCCTTTCACTGACCCTGTGTTTATCTTTTTATGTCATGTGGCCTTTCACTGACCCTGTGTTTATCTTTTTATGTCATGTGGCCTTTCACTGACCCTGTGTTTGTCTTTTTATGTCATGTGGCCTTTTACTAACCCTATGTTGATGTTTTTATGTCATGTGTCCTTTCACTGACCCTGTGTTTGTCTTTTATGTCATGTGTCCTTTCACTGACCCTGTGTTTGTCTTTTTATGTCATTTGTCCTTTGCTGACCCTGTGTTTGTCTTTTTATGTCATGTGGCATTTGCTGACCCTGTGTTTGTCTTTTTATGTCATGTGGCCTTTGCTGACCCTGTTTATCTTTTTTATGTCATGTGTCCTTTCACTGACCCTGTGTTTGTCTTTTTATGTCATGTGTCCTTTCACTGACCCTGTGTTTGTCTTTTTATGTCATGTGTCCTTTGCTGACCCTGTATTGGTAAGCCATTAGTCCCAGCCCTGTGTTGAAGTGACCCTTGACCTACCTCAGTGTCTTGGCCATTACAGTTGATCATTAGCTGCTCCATGATGGAGTGTACCACTTCACGATCTGGCAAAATAAAACAGATTTATGAAATATAGTCTTACTTCTACTGACAAAATTCAACTGGAGTACATTTAACAATGAGGATCTAGTGACTGAACAGATACCCAGGAAGTCTAACATGTCTGTATATCAGGAGAATTCTAGATTACAAATTCCATTTTGAAGAGGTAAAGAAAGAAGTAGAAATAACAAGAGTACCGGAAAGCAGAACAAAATACGCCCGTGGATATCCAAAACAGCAAAGGGGCATAACTCTTATTCAAATCGTCTAATCAAAACCCCGTTCAGGAAAACACAATTTCCTATCATGGTGTTCCATAGTCCCTGTTTAAGGTGATCAAGCTGGAGTTTATTAAAGACAACTAAATATATACACAATGCATTGGTTTATAATGATTAAATATCATGTTTTCTCAGAAAAAACCTATCTATAAGTTATTGTTTTGAATCGGGAAAATAGGTCAAGGTGTTCTATTGTTACAGCGTGAATGACATGGCAATGTGAACCTAACAAATAATTGAAGAAATGCAGATGGCTGTATTTTATGACGAAGTAAAAACTTATCGGTGAAACATCCTTATCAGCTGAGTGAGACGTTGGAGAAAACTGTATCAATGATTAATGAGGAATTAATATATTGATCAGAAAAGACTGCTCTTCTCCTCAGCAGGACTGTTGATGTCTGGTCTCATCTACAGTGGAGGATTAATGACCCTGGGGCAGGTCTGATAGGGTCAGAGAGGATTAACAATTCCCGGGCAGGTCTGATAGGGTCAGAGAGAATTAACAATCCCGGGCAGGTCTGATAGGGTCAGAGAGGATTAACAATTCCTGTGCAGGTCTGATAGGGTCAGAGAGGATTAACATTCCCGGGGCAGGTCTAGAGAGTCTTGGAGGAATAATAATCCCTGGGGCAGGTCTGATAGGGTCAGAGAGGATTAACAATCCCAGGGCAGGTCTAGAGAGTCTTGGAGGAATAACAATCCTGGGACAGGTCTAGAGAGTCACAGGGGAATAACAGTCCTGGGGCAGGACTGGAGAGTCTTAGAGGAATAACAATCCTGGGGCAGGTATGGAGAGTCTTGGATGAATAACAATCCCGTGGCAGGTCTGGAGAGTCTTAGAGGAAAAACAATCCCGGGGCAGGTCTGGAGAATCTTAGAAGAATAACAATCCAGGGGGAGGACTGGAGAGTCTTAGAGGAATAACAATGTCTGGGGCAGGTCTGGAGAGTCTCAGAGGAATAACAATGTCTGGGGCAGGTCTGGAGAGTCTTTGTCTGGGGCAGGTCTGGAGAGTCTTTGAGGAATAACAATCCCGGGGCAGGTCTGGAGAGTCTTAGAGGAATAACAATGTCTGGGGCAGGACTGGAGAGTCTTAAAGGGTAGAGGGAAGATCTGGATAGTCCTGGACAGAAGGGCAAGGTCTGGAGAGTCCCTTGGTAAGAGGGAGGTCATGAATGTCCCAGATTGAAGAGAGGTCTGGAGTGTCCTTGGTAGAGAAGATCTGAAGAGTCCAAGGGCAAGAGGAAGGTCTTGGGTGTCCTGGACAGAGGAAAGGTCTGGAGTCCCAGGGCAAAAGGGAGGTCATTAGTGTCTCAGACAAAAGATGTCTGCAGATTCTAAAAGAGCAGAAAGAAGGTCTGCAGACTCCCATGGCAAGAAGGAGGTCTAGAGTGTCCTTGAATGAAGGGCGGTCTGGCGATTCTAAGAGGGCAGAAGGAAGGTCTTTAGAATCTTTGAGGGCAAATGGAAGGTTTGCAGAGTCTCAACAGGCAGAAGGAAGGTCTGGAGATTCCCAGGACAAGAGGAAGGTCTGGTGTGGCCTTGACAGAAGAGAGGTATGGAGTGTCCTTGACATCAGTAAGATCTGGATTCCCAGAGCAAGAGAGAGGTCATTAGTGTCCCAAATGGAAGAGAAGTCTATAGTGTCCTTGACAGAAGGAAGATCTGGAGAGGGCAAGAAGGGCTGGGGTGTCCTTGACAGAAGAGAGGTCTGGAGTCCCAGAGGACGACACTGGTTTTTAGTGTCCTAAATGGAAGAGAAGTCTGGAGAGTCCTTGACAGAAGAGAGGTTTGGAGAGGTCTGGAGAGTTCTGGACAGAAGGAAAGCATGAAAAGTCACAGACAGAATGAAGGTCAGAATAGTTTCAGATAAAGCAGATGTCTGAAGTGTCCTTAGGTAGGGAGGAGGTGTCAAGGGGTACAAGAGGGAGGACTGAAATACCTGTAAGAGAAAGGTGGTGAGAACGGGGTGTTTAGAGATTCCTGAACAGGTAAGAGATCTGGAAAGTCCCAGGCCTGGTGTGTCCCTGTTAAAGGAAATCCAAGGAGTTTGGAAATGTTAGAACCTTGGATTGACCATCTGCCTGAATAAACAACCTTTTCAGGACGATGGTAAGTGAGACCATCTGAATACATTACAGCAGGCCAGTACTGAAGAGGGACGAGAGGGATCACAGAATCTAGTACAACTATGACCAAGTGTTAAACAAAGTGTAGGTAAATAGACTACAATACATTGTTACCATCTTGTGTATTTTTTACTCTGATCTTTCTACCATCTTGTCACACTATTTTCGACCTGAGTGTACATTGGATTATAGAACAGCCAAAAAAGGTCGGCTGATTCCTTACCATCTCGTACACTAAGTACGTCAGTGTTAGTACACTCCACACTGGTCATTTGTCTGATGGAGGTGACCATGTAGATCTCGTACACTACGTATGTCAGTGTTAGTACGCTCCATGCTGGTCATTTGTCTGATGGAGGTGACCGTGTAGATCTCATACACTACGTACGTCAGTGTTAGTACGCTCCACACTGGTCATTTGTCTGATGGAGGTGACCATGTAGATCTCGTACACTACGTACGTCAGTGTAAGTACGCTCCACACTGGTCATTTGTCTGATGGTGGTGACCGTGTAGATCTCGTACACTACGTACGTCAGTGTTAGTACGCTCCACACTGGTCATTTGTCTGATGGAGGTGACCGTGTAGATCTCGTACACTACGTACGTCAGTGTTAGTACGCTCCACACTGGTCATTTGTCTGATGGAGGTGACCATGTAGATCTCGTACACTACGTACGTCAGTGTTAGTACGCTCCACACTGGTCATTTGTCTGATGGTGGTGACCGTGTAGATCTCGTACACTATGTACGTCAGTGTTAGTACGCTCCACACTGGTCATTTGTCTGATGAAGGTGACAGTGTAGATCTCGTACACTACGTACGTCAAGTGTTAGTACGCTCCACACTGGTCATTTGTCTGATGGAGGTGACCATGTAGATCTCGTACACTACGTACGTCAGTGTTAGTACGCTCCACACTGGTCATTTGTCTGATGAAGGTGACAGTGTAGATCTCGTACACTACGTACGTCAAGTGTTAGTACGCTCCACACTGGTCATTTGTCTGATGGTGGTGACCAATGAAATGTCACACTCTAATCTTTTTTTTTAATCAAGATCTATAGAGTTTTAATGGGTTAGATCATTACTTTTGGTTTTACTTAAGGAGGACTCCTGAAGTGTTAGAACACTGGTTTCACTTTCAACATTCAGGACTGGTGTTGTAATTGGTTTGCTATTGTTGTTGTAAGTTTAAGGGTCTTAAAAATATATTTGTTTTGATGTCACTTAAATAATGGAAACATGAAATTTGTACATATATCTATATTTACCAATGAGAGGGTTGCGTCTCACGTCCAGTACGACCACCGTTGTGTTATATTTAAGTACATCCAGTAATGCCTTTGCACCAGTTGAGGAGATACCACATCCTTGAAGGTCCAGCGCTGTTAACATCAACAAATAATGTTTCAATGCAAATCTAAGATAATACTTCCAATGGTTGTTTAATACAACAGAGTTACCTTCCCTTGATTTGACTACAAATTCATGTCGAACCTTATTAGACACATTTCTAACACTTGGTTTTGGAGTGCTTAAGACACCTATCACAACCCTCTGGAACTTGTATAGATTTAAAACTTCATATCACAAACCTTTTCTTATGAAAGACTGGTGCCCTAGTCACCATGGAAACAGAATGATTTACTATTGAGCCAGAGTTCATCCTTGAGCGTCTTGGTCAATAGATTGGTGCCCTAGTCACCATGGAAACAGAACGACTTACCTTTGAGCCAGAGATCATCCTTGAGAGCCTCTGCCAATAGACTAGTGCCTTGATCTCCTAACATAGGATTGTTATTGATGGTGATACGACGGATGCCAGGCATACGGTCAAGGTCAGGTCGTCTGTATCGTAGACTATCACGCCAAGCCTCATTGTGGCGCTTCATTGCCTGATGCTGTAACATCAAACAAAACATTTTTGAAAATTTTATCTTCTGATCAATTTCATTAGCCTTCTGTTTGATTAACACTTTTCTATCATTCTGAAGTTCAGTCACCTAAACCAGGATGCTGATCTTTGTGGTTGTAGAGCTTAATGTGAAGAAATTTCAATGTGTAGCAATAAACTTATCCATACCAGTTATTCTTAGGAAGAATTACAAGGCAAATTATTTCAGTGAGGCAGCACTATGAAAATTCGGCTTCAGTTCTGCAATATAACACATAAAGAGGCCTACAAAAATATATCATAGCCTGCTACCAACATATACACTCATCTCACCTACACGGGAGGCTGTCTTTAATTGACCTTAGCTATTGATAGGATGTTAAACAATAGGTAGTGGGCTTAATTATTGTTGTAACACTTTTGCAGTCTTACACCAATGAAAAGAGAGAATGCAAATCATCTTATAAAACTGACAAATCATGTAGCCCAATACAAATAATAAGAAAGAAAATTTAACAGAATTGAATATGACCAGTCCTTCAAAAGACATCATGAGGAAAGCATCATCTGGATGGACAGAAGGACGGAAAGAAGGACGGAGGGGTTGGGCCTATTTGAACATCCCCTGCCAGCTTTGTTGGGCGGGAGATAACAAAACAGAGACACAATTTCTCTATACATAATCATAAAATTTATCAATTCTAACAGATTTTTTCCCATTTTTTCATTATAAATTGATGAGTTTTTAATGACAAGGTGACCTTGTTAATTGTAATTCTAAATTTACTGTAAAACAACGGCCGAATCACACAACTTTTAATCGTTTGATATGTATAACGATACCTCTATACAATAAAATCATATGGCTGATAAAACATGAATGTCTCTCCTGAGATTTATTGACAAGAGTTTGCTGATCAATGATTACCGACAAATTGGTCAAATATACTTAACTAATTGTTGGATGCATATGGATAGGTTTTAGAATCTGTATCACTGATCAGATAAACATTTGATCAAAATTATAGGATATTGTCTGTTTACATGCAACTTCTTAATGCAGGTCAGTTTGAAACATTACAATCACAGGACAGGACATTTATAGTCACTGGGTAGGACTGTATACATTTATAGTCACTGGGTAGGACTGTATACATTTATAGTCACAGGGTAGGACTGTATACATTTATAGTCACTGGGTAGGACTGTATACATTTACAGTCACTGGGTAGGACTGTTATAGTCACAGGGTAGGACTGTATACATTTATAGTCACTGGGTAGGACTGTATACATTTATAGTCACTGGGTAGGACTGTTATAGTCACAGGGTAGGACTGTATACATTTATAGTCACTGGGTAGGACTGTATACATTTATAGTCACTGTGTAGGACTGGTATACATTTATAGTCACTGGGTAGGACTGTATACATTTATAGTCACTGTGTAGGACTGTATACATTTATAGTCACTGGGTAGGACTGTATACATTTATAGTCACTGGGTAGGACTGGTATACATTTATAGTCACTAGGTAGGACTGTATACATTTATAGTCACTGGGTAGGACTGTATACATTTATAGTCACTGTGTAGGACTGGTATACATTTATAGTCACTGGGTAGGACTGTATACATTTATAGTCACTGGGTAGGACTGGTATACATTTATAGTCACTGGGTAGGACTGTATACATTTATAGTCACTGTGTAGGACTGGTATACATTTATAGTCACTGGGTAGGACTGTATACATTTATAGTCACTGGGTAGGACTGTATACATTTATAGTCACTGTGTAGGACTGTATACATTTATAGTCACTGTGTAGGACTGTATACATTTATAGTCACTGTGTAGGACTGGTATACATTTATAGTCACTGGGTAGGACTGTATACATTTATAGTCACTGGGTAGGACTGTATACATTTATAGTCACTGTGTAGGACTGTATACATTTATAGTCACTGTGTAGGACTGTATACATTTATAGTCACTGTGTAGGACTCTATACATTTATAGTCACTGTGTAGGACTGTATACATTTATAGTCACTGTGTAGGACTGTTATAGTCACAGGGTAGGACTGTATACATTTATAGTTTCTGGGTAGGACTGTAGTCACTGGGTAGGACTGTATACATTTATAGTCACTGGATAGGACTGTATATTTTTATAGTCACAGGGTAGGACTGTATACATTTATAGTCACTGTGTAGGACTGTATACATTTATAGTCACTGTGTAGGACTAGTATACATTTATAGTCACTGGGTAGGACTGTATACATTTATAGTCACTGGGTAGGACTGTATATTTTTATAGTCACAGGGTAGGACTGTATACATTTATAGTCACTGTGTAGGACTGGTTTACATTTATAGTCACTGGGTAGGACTGTATACATTTATAGTCACTGGGTAGGACTGGTATACATTTATAGTCACGGTGTAGGACTGTATACATTTATAGTCACTGTGTAGGACTAGTTTACATTTATAGTCACTGGGTAGGACTGTATACATTTATAGTCACTGGGTAGGACTGGTATACATTTATAGTCACTGTGTAGGACTGTATACATTTATAGTCACTGTGTAGGACTGGTTTACATTTATAGTCACTGGGTAGGACTGTATATTTTTATAGTCACAGGGTAGGACTGTATACATTTATAGTCACTGGGTAGGACTGTATACATTTATAGTCACTGGGTAGGACTGTATACATTTATAGTCACTGGGTAGGACTGTATATTTTTATAGTCACAGGGTAGGACTCTATACATTTATAGTCACTGGGTTTATAGTCACTGGGTAGGACTGGTATACATTTATAGTCACTGGGTAGGACTGTATATATTTATAGTCACTGGGTAGGACTGTTATAGTCACAGGGTAGGACTGTATACATTTAAAGTCACTGGGTAGGAATCTCATTCTACTCTTCTTAAGGAAAAGAAGACTCTCTTTTCAACACCAAGGGTGAAAAGCTTTCATTTAAATCCAGCAAATTCAGAAAACTTCTCTTGAATTGGCACATTGAATACCTATAAAACAAAATTCTGACATCAAATATAGTCTATTTATACTCCAATAGTTATTCCCCTTGTTGGCAATAAAAACATGTTTACAAACAAGAACGATCGCATCCTTAGTGTTTACCAACACTGCGAAACTTCCTGTCGATGACAGTAAACTACGCAAGGATAATGGTGAAAAAACCACATGGCTTTCTACTTTGTCCCAGAGGACAGCTACTATTGCCTAAACACAAAACACAAACATACATTTGTATTGTCATATACAGCACCTAAATAATGTAATGCTACCACATGTCAGACCAAGTGAGTTTTGGGAATTTAAATTTGTCTATGTATGTTTAAAAATGATATTTAACAACAAATTAGTTACATAAATATGAGGGGATGAGTAAGTAACCCTGACATTACCATGGTAACCGAGAATCTGGTTTATATTCCATCATTTAAGTTGGCAATTCGTCAAGTGAACTGAAGTTTACAGTTTCGTGAATTCTACACCACTGCTTTTGTTACTTCTGTTAAACACCCACATGTGCTATTTTGATTGTTACATTTTGGAATCTCCTCATCAGATACAGAGTCATTGTCCTGAGATATCTCATAATCTCAGAGACATTGTTGTGACAGATCACCTAGTCTAAGACATGCCGTGGCAGAAGACAAATCCAGCTGTCTGTATTTTAAGAGCGAATCTGTCATGAGATAGGACTTCCCTAAGACAGTTTCTATTATAACTGGGCACCTGCTCTCAGGCTGTAACTAATGTCAGGGATTGGCAGGCTGTCTTTAGACATCAGTCCTAACAATGAGTTACACACCTCATCCATAACATCTTCTATCCTATAATGTCACAAGTCCTAAAAGTACCTGTCCTATAACATCACCAGTCCTAAAAGTACCTGTCCTATAATGTCACCAGTCCTAAAAGTACCTGTCCTATAATGTCACCAGTCCTAAATGTATCTGTCCCATAATGTCACCAGTCCTAAAAGTACCTGTTCTATAATGTCACCAGTCCTAAAATTACATGTCCTATAATGTCACCAGTCCTAAAAGTACCTGTCCTAAAATATCGCCAGTCCTAAAAGTACCTGTCCTATACCATCACCAGTCCTAAAAGTACCTGTCCTATAATGTCACCAGTCCTAAAAGTACCTGTTCTATAATGTCACCAGTCCTAAAATTACATATCCTATAACATCACCAGTCCTAAAAGTACCTGTCCTATAATGTCACCAGTCCTAAAAGTACCTGTCCTATGTCACCAGTCCTAAAAGTACCTGTCCTCTAGCATCCTATATCATCATCTGTCCCTGGAAACTTAAATTATTATGAAAACTGTCGAACTTTTATTTTCAAAGACAAGGTTGTGCCTACAACACTTGAAATTTTAAGTAGAATGTAGGTATGTTTGATTATTCCTTGTGAGAACACAAAATTCAGTTAGTGTTTTGATAAGATAGCTACCTCTGTACAAAACCAGGAACTGTTAGAATTGTGTAACATGTCTTCTCCAGACTCCGACTTGAGTTTGTTTTCAGATCCAAACAGAAGCATAAATCTTATTTACATATTTACGTAAATGACCCTTGCTGTTTTCGAGGTTTTGACGCCTGAACAGAACATTGGCACCAACTCCAGACAGAAAACTGGCAGTTTTCAGAGAGAGGTTGCTCACTTGGAAAATTGATTTATTTAAAATCTATAACAAGTATTTCCCAGCTTATCTGCAGAGTATGGAAGGGAGAAAAATTACATGGATTATATATCAGGTTGGAAGATTCTCGTATTCTGTAAATGCAAATATCTGTGATATTTAATCCACTGAGATGATTGAGAGGTGTTTGTGCTTGTATTAGGAAACAAAATAAGCTGACATTGTGAAGAACTTGCTAAATCAGTAACAAAACCTAACCAATTCATATTCTTGTCACGAACTACTTGCTGGACTGAATGACCCC